GAGAGAGAGAGAGGAATGCTGAAGAGGAAAAGTAAAATTAGAAAGTATATTAAAGTGTAGGGTCGTGCCGTTCGTGTCGTCTTTGAAAAGTAACCGGATATGTTTGTCAACAGTTGGCTTATCTAAAGAAAATATTATAATATTCTTTAGAACAAGAATAAAAAAAAAAAAAAAAAAAAGAGAAAAGAAAAGTAACATTTAAAAATCATCGCCATTGAATAGAAACTTTTATAAATTGACTAATTGAATAATCCAAAATGAAATTCGAAAATATTATTTTCTCGAATAACGATCGAATTTTCAGAAAAATTGTTTCGTTTATTAACTTTTTTTTTTTTTTTTTTTTTTTTTTTTTTTTTTTTTTTTTTTTTTTTTTTTGATGTAAAAAAATATATTCCTCCTTAACAATTCTATTTCTTCGAAAAATAAAAATTACATCGCCGATAAAATACATTTCTTCGTTGAATATTTAATTATAAAGCAAACGAATTATCGTTATTTATTTAATTATATTATTCTTGAATTTCTGTCGTTGTAATTTTTTTACTTGTGACATTATTTTTATATTTTTTCACTTTTTGTCTTTTGCTTAGTAATATATATATATATATATATATATATATATATATATATAAATATATACACATACACACACATATATATGTATATATATATACATATATATATATATATGTATATAGAGGCAAGTATATAGGTATTTAAGAATGAAATTCCAAATGACGTACGTATGTAAAGTAGACATTGCGTTTGTCTACTAGCTCGTGATCGTCTTTTTCTCAGGTATACGGTGTCCATGTAAACTATATATATATATATTATAATAGTATTTAACAATATTGGATAGCCGTACATAAACATACATATATCAACTTATATATATATATAAGTTAATATATTTATATACATTTCATTAATCATTTCTTCTTCTTCTTCTTCTTCTTCTTCTTTTTCTTCTTCTTTTATTTTTTTTTTGTCGTTCATAAAAAACATCCTTTATTTTTCTTTTTTTTTAATTTTCTAGAGAATAACGTAAGTTTGTTAGATGTCGATATGTATAAATTACATGGGGGAAGTATTATATAAATAAATTATAGAAGTTGAAAGACCGAGAGGTATGAATTTTTTCAAAAATTATTTAACGATAAGAATAAGATGCTCTTGTCTATATGTAAAATTCGTATTAATAAAATCGATAATCTACGTGGAAGATTATTTTATTCGAGGATAATCCTCGTTGATCATTATTATTATCATAATATCTTGAGAATGACGTATTTGTTTGTAAAATACTGTTAAGATTTTTTTTCCTTTTCTTTTCTTTTTTTTTTCTTTTTGTTTTTTTTTTCTTAACCCCCCGCCCACCCCCGCCCCTCCGTAACAACATTAAATTTTCAATCCACCCTTGTGGGTCTTTTTTTTCTCTTTTCTTTTTTTTTTTTTTTTTCCTTTTTTTTTTCTTTTCTTTTCAATTATAAATACATGCGTAATATTTCCAAGATCTATATTCTATTCTCATTTAATAACATTTAAACGATCAATTATACTTTGTAGTAATAAATAAAACTTAATGCGAATTATATATGGCAATGAATTTTTCTGTTTTTTCTGTTTTTTTTTCTTTTTTTTTTTTTTTTTTGTATCTTTTATGTATAAAAAAAAAAAGAACAAGAAAAAGAAAATGTTAGAAATATTAGAAATGTTATTAAGTTTATATAAGTTTGTTGTGTTCGCGTGCTCTTGCGTGAATTTGTGTCTGCGCGCGTGTGTGTGTGTGCGTGTGTGTGTATACGTGTGTGCATGCGTGTATATATGATTAACGAAAAATTATTTTAATATTATTTAATATGACAATGAATTAAAAAGGATGAATTTTGACTGGGAAATAATGGGTAATAACGAAAACGAATTTTGCGAGTATGTCCTGTGAAAGGACGAGCAAGACAGTTGGTCGACGTGCACGGATCTTCGGGGACGGAGAGAAAACTGGTCCACCCACGGATATCTCGAAAGAATTTTTCTTCGACCGGTCGACCATCGACACACGAGATCGACCTCGGCATAAAGGAAAATTTTGCCAAAGATATTTATTGTATCGAAATATTTATTTGTATTTATATACATAGATAGACGTATGGATGCAAAAAATGAGATCGTTTTCATTATTTTCGATTGAAAATTATACAATTTTTTTTTTATTTTTTTTTTTTTTTTTTTGTATATTTCTTTAAGATCCAAAGAAAGAAAACAAAGAAGAAAATAAAAAAAATAGCCTAATTATTCATCATAGATTTCAAATGACAATGGACGACAATTTTTCTCTTCTCTCTTTTTTAACGATCTATATTAAAAGTCAACGTGAATTAATATGATTAATATGTCAATAATGCACATCACTAATTCATAATTTAATTTTCAATGATAAAACGAAATGATATTTTAATTAAAAGAACAAAAAGAAAAAAAAAGATTAAGTAAATAGGAGAAGGATGAATATATTTTTTTCTTTCTTTCTTTCTTTTCTTTTTTCCCTCTTTTTTGTAAGAGAAACGAATTGATATTTATAAGTCAAAAAAAAGAAAAAAAAGAAGAAAGGAAAAAAAGGAAAAAATAAGAAACGTATTTAAGTAATTTGAAATGCGATTAGTATTTTTATGATTTAACGAATACAGTCATAAAATTCAGTCGTTCGTCTCTTTTTTAGTGCCAGGTACTTGACCCGAGATCTTTAAATACGTGGTAAGAAGAGGTTAACACGAAGAACGAGTAACACGAGATGCAAGAGCGAATCTATTTGTTGACTACGTGAACACACACACACACATATACACATACATACAGACACACACACAACACACAGAAATATAGATACACATACATAGATATAACAGCTGGACCATATCGAACAATAGGAGGATGGTCTCCCTGAGAGGCCATTGCCATCACTTTTCGATCTCGATCTAGATCCTTCGATCACGATCACTCGAAAATTAAAAACAATCGAGTCTCGATTAATCGATTTCTATCTCTAATTAAAAAAAAAAAAAAAAAAAAAAAAAAAAAAAAAAAAAAAAAAAAAACAGAGAGAGAAGAAAGAATAAACGATTAGAAAGAAGATCGTAAGAATTCGAAAAAAAAGAAAAAAAAAAGAAAGGAAAATGTTCGGAATGTATTTGATACTTTTCTTTTCTTCTCTTTTTTCTTTTTTTCATTTCTTTTTTTTTTTTTTTTTTTTTTTCTTCAGGTAGATTTTAGAACTGTGAATTCCCATAAAAATAAATCTCTTTCTATACCTGGACCAGCACCGTAAAACCTTCCACTCTCTGGTCCAGCTGTTAGGTTTTACATAAGAAACCAACCTTATTCAGGGCTCGAGTTTCGCGGGGCAAATGCATAGCTTCAACTACCAACACAAGCCAGTTTCCTTCTTTGTCCGCGTTCTTCCTATTTTGGTGATGTTAGACAGAGAGAGAGAGAGAGAGAGGGAGAGAGAGAGAGAGAGAGAGAGAGAGAGAGAGAGAGAGAGAGAGAGAGAGAAAAGAAAAACAAAAAAAGTCGCAACAACAGCTGGTTCAAATAACACAGTTATCTCTATACTTCTAAATCTTTGTACGCTATACCTGTGTATACTAATGACAAATTTAAATCCTTTCTAGGATCGAAAAAGATTTTTCAAGAAACGTATCTGTTTATCTGCAAAATTGCAAAGAAAGAAAAGAAAAGAAAAGAAAAAAAAAAGAAAAAAAAAAAAAAAAAAAAAGAAAAACCTATTTAAATCTTACGTAATCGATATATATCGTCGAACATTCGAATTTTCATTTAATTTCAAATGAAAATGTTAATTATTAAAATGAAAGAAAAATTTCGTATATATAAAAATCCACGTAAAACTTTATTACACAAAGTTTTAGAAATTTCGTATCTTACGAGTCTTGGGACAGTTTGAACGAAGTGTAAGGTCCGTCCCTGACCCTACCCGATCGACTTCTTTCCCTTTGTAGTAGGTGGATGAGGGGTTAGGGAGGATACCTCACCGTATCCCTTTTCTTCTTTATGGTGTTATTACGAGAGAAGCAACCTGTCGTGTTTCGAGCCTCAGTATCTCAGCATCTTCCTCTATGTTGGCTAAGCTTTTGCCCAGTACTTCTCTCTCTCTCTCTCTCTCCTTTTATCTATCTCTCTATTTCTATCTTTCTATCTCTATTTATCTATCTGTCTATCTATGCATCAGCTCTCTCTCTCTCTCTCTCTCTTTCTCTCTCTCTCTCTCTCTCTCTCTCTCTCTCTCTTTCTCGTTCTTTCGTAGGCTCTGTATCTTCAGTTATACGCCCGTCTCACTCTGAGACTATCTTTTTCCATGGTACTCGCGACACGGTGGAGAAGGGGGCCAGAGGCCGAAGGAGAAGGAGAAGAACCAGTCGTGAACCAGAACGGTTGGTCGGTCCTCGGAATCTCTCTCTCTCACAGTCACCTCTTCGAGCTTCGTTACACGAGGACCGTCGTTGTGTCGTCTCTTTTTCTCTTTTTTTTTTCTCTCTCTTTTTCTTTTTCTTTCTTTCTTTCTTTCTTTCTCTAACTCTATCAATCTATCACTCTTTCTCTCACTTTCATTCTCTCTCTCTCTCTCTCTCTCTCTCTCTCTACCTATTTCATTCTGTCTCTTTTTCTCTGTCTCTTTCTCTCTATCTCTCTTTCTCTCTCTCTCTCTCTCTCTCTCTTGATCTATCGATCACTCGATCGATCCCTCTATCAGTGTATACTCTTATATTATCGCGACGATCAATTAAAATTGGTTATATCGATTTTTCGCGCGACGTTTTAAGGTTCAAGGTTCTCCAAGGGTCTCACGAAAGGATTTCAACTGTTGCAACCTGGTCCCAGGGGATGATGGTCCCATTGTAATCGTATTTAATCGTATTTTCTAAGATGAGATGAGAGTTTAACGATTTAAGAGGCACAGACACGAGAAGAGGATTGAACAGGTTCGTTTGAATTTCTTCACTGTTTTCTTTTTTCTTTTTTTTTCTTTTTCCTCCTTTTTTTTATTTGCATTTTTATCGCTTTCATCTTCGACGCTTGTTTTTGATTTAGAGAAAAACAAATCTTTTTTTTCTCTCCTTCTTTTTCTTCCCTTTTTTTCTTTTTTGTTTTCCTCTTTTTTTTTTTTTTTTCTTTTTTTTTTTTTTTTTTTTTTTTTTTCTTTAATTCATCTACAAAATTATTCTCCTATTTGTGTTTGTCTATCTTACGAAAATAATTGTTGTTCTAAGATTAAAAAATCCGCTGTTGTTAGAGACAATTTCGTATGTTTGAAATATTTTTATGTAGATCATAATTTTCTTTTTTTTTTTTTATTTTTTTTTTTTTTACAAATAAATAAACAGAAGTTTTAGCATTATAAGAAAAAGGAAACTTTTCAAAAGTAAAATAAGCAATATAGTGAGAAGAAGTTTAATCTCAATTCACGTAGAATTATATTTGCAAAAGTAAAAAGAAAGATTTTTTTATTTACATAAAAAGAATGAAAATTAAACGTAAAAAAGTTTCGAAGTCTACACTCTCGATGTCTAATCGTTCTCTTTTCTTTTTCTTTTTTTTTTTTTTTTTTTTTTTTTATATACAAAATTTAGAAGAAAGGAAAAAAGAAAAGGAAATACAGACGGTCAATGAAATTAATAAAGCAAATGTGAAATATTTTTTTTCCGTATAGAAAGAACGGGGAGAGAAAAAAAAAAGAGAAAAGAGAAAAAGATAGATCGATCGATAGAAGCAAAATCGATCATTTTCTCGTTCATTTGGAATGATCAAAAATCATGTATCTAGTGGGTGGTATTTCTTTGGAATGAGATCGCAACACGAATGATAATGAATATTAACAGCATAATGCGAGCAGTGGGCCGCAAAACGTGGGCCGCGAACTGATATTATCGACTCGAGAATGAAATACATATAATATAATATATACATACATAGATACATACGTATGTACATAAATAGATAAATATACTACGTATGTAGATCAATTAGAGCGTTATTCTAAAGGAATATTTCTTTCGAAAGAATTATTACGTTCGTTTAATTAACTTTCGTTTTTATTAATTTGAATACAAAACAAATTCGTCGATTCATTAAAGAATAATCGGTTCATTAATAAATATTCGTCGATGATGATTAAATCATGATGCACGTATACAATCTCATTTTATATATGTATATATATATATATATATACCTCTCTCTTTCTCTCTCTCTTTTTCTCTTACATATATTAATTGCAAACACTAACACGTTTATTCATCGTGTGTATCTTGATATCGTAGACATAACATTCAATGATAAAACACTCTTAGCCATTCGTAGAAATTTCAATCCAATTAAATATTAGTATTACCTTACAACTTATATTATTATTATTATATATACATACATATATATGTATATATAATATGTATTAATAGGTCTACTATACCTATATATCTACCTGTGTATATATATATATATATATGTCTGTATATAATACGCTCGTGTATGTGTATTTTTATTTTGTTTCTTGAAAAAACTTCACGACCTCTGATACGAGAAGAACACGTCATTAACGATTTTACGTTCTCTCGATCGTCTCGACTCGCGCGAGTAAAATTACATCGTCGTCGTCGTCGTCGTCGTCTTCGTCGTCGTCTTCGTCGTCTTCGTCGTAGTCGTCGTCTTCGTCTTCGTCTTCGTCTTCGTCGTCTTCGTCGTCGTCAACGGAGGCTGACAATTATTAATCCGTCGTAAGATGATGATGATGATGTGTATGTGTGTGTGTGTGTGTGTGAGAGAGAGAGAGAGAGAGAGAGAGAGATGAGAGCGAAAGTAAACTGTGCTTTTCAAACGGATCAAAGAGAGCGACGCATAGTTAATAAACGACATAAATGTCTAGTTATTTCATTTCTTTTTTCTTTTTTCTTTTTTCTTTTTTCCTTTTTTTCTTTTTCTTTTTTTTTTTTTTTTTTTTTTTACAGAGATACAATGTAATACGTGTAATATATTTAATCGATAAAAATATTGGATTAAAATTTGTGATTTTGAAGATTCATATTTATGTATATATATATATATATGTGTGTGTGTGTGTGTGTGTGTGTGTGTGTGTGTGTATAAAGAAAAAAGGAAAAAAAAAAAGAAGAAATGAAAATTTTCAGAACGATAAAATATAATATGTGTTAAGATAATTGGAATTAAATAATCGAATGTTATCATTGATAAAAATATATATACATATATATGTATATATGGAGATTTAAGAAAAGGAAAGAAAAAAAAATAGAAGAGAAATAGAAGGAAGATTTCGAAGTAACTTTAGTAGTTTACCAAGAAAAGGCATTAGAAAAGACATTAGAGAGAAATATCGATGCATACTCGGTCGATTGCATAACTACAATAATTACGACACTCGTCAGCATTTGTTTTTCAACAAAAGACAGATGTAACTATTACACATATACATACATTATGGCGTGTTGATTGTATTAGCGTTGAAACATTTAGAGATAAAGATAAAGAAGAAGAGGAAGAAGAAGAAGAAGAAGAAGAAGAAGAAAGAGAAAATGATTAAGTCAATTATAATAATCCATTATTATTTATCGATAATAGAAATTATTTTAATCGTATTAATGGTTCTTGTTAAATTCCTGTGTTCATCGACGAAGTCAATGCTTTTCGAATTAATTTGTTTGATTTACTCGAGATGATGACGGTGATAATAATTCTTCTGCGATCCAATTAGCAGATGAGTTTATTAACGTTCCTATATAAAATATATATATATATATATATATATATATATATGTATATATGTATATATTTAATATATATCTGGTAATTGGCAATTATCTTATCCAACGACTAGAAGAAATTTCCGACCGATTAAATCCTATCCGTGTTTATATATACCTCAGAAACTTTCGTTTATTTCGACGAGACGAAATCCTTGTAAATTTTGTAATCAAAAATCTTACTCTTGAAAATTCTACGATTTTATCTTTTTCTCTCTTTCTCTTTCATTATGAAAGAGTGTCTCTCCATTTCTCTTTTTCTTTCTCCCTTTCTCTTCCTCTTTTTCTCTCTCTCTCTCTCTCTCTCTCTCTTTTACTTGTAGTGAAACTTCAGTACAAAACGACTACTACGACGTTTTCCAGCAAAATGTATTTCACGTTTAACAACCATAAATGGAATTATTTTCCGTACTAGATGTGTCTACCCTACGATGGAAAATAAGTATTTACCGCATTAACAGTAAATAGAATTCCAGTTATGCGTCACGTGTTTCTTTTTTTTTTTATTTTTTTCTTTTTCTTTTTCTCTCTCTCTCCTTTTTCTTTCCCTCTAAGATCTAAAGTTTTCTACGAAAGAGAGAAAATATTTCTATGAAAAATCTAATTGGACCTTGGATAAATACTTAGATCTACTAGATGATCCTCAGTGTTACTTGTTTCATAGGTTTTTAAGAAAAAAAAAAAAAAAAAAAAAAAAGAAAAAAAACAAAGAAAAAAATTTGTTATTTCTTCATAAAGATTTCATTGAAATTAAAATTATTAATTTAAACATTATTTAAAATTATTAATTTGAACATTTAAATATTATACGTATATAAAATTTCAATGGACGTTTTATTATGAAGCAATAAATTCGTTGAAATTTGTAATATATATTTTATATTTGAATCAAAAACAAAAAAAAAAAAAAAAGAGAGAAGAAGAGAAAGAAAGAAAATAATGTAACATAACATATAAGAAATAATATGACGTTATATTTTTTTATAGTTACATTTGTATATAGTATTATATTATATGATATATTATAGAAGAATATTATCACTATTTATTATACATTATATATATATCTATATATTTAGATAGAAAATAGACTGAGAATATTACTGCCAATATAAAGAATATATCATAGTATCAAATTTATATCTACATATTTAAAAAGAATAAACTCTTTGCGTATACGTCAACGTTACAACATGATATTTAAACTTGAGTTGAAAAGTCAACTTCGAACTAAGCATGTATATATATATATATACATATACATATACATATACATATATATATATATATTTTTTATCTATTCGAGAATTAAATTAACACCTCCTTCGGACGCAATTTCCTTTAGAACATCGTTCATTGATTTACATATAGAAATGTGATCTCTCAACGATGTTCCTTTTTATTTATTTATTTTTTCTTCTTTTCTTTTGACGATGAATAATATGTACGTAAATAAATGATGACCAGTGGTTCTCAAAGTGGTCAAGCTATATACGCATATGAATTTTTATGTTAATGGGAAATGAATGGGTACGTCATCGATGTTGGATAAACGTAATCACCTTGAAATATGTTTCTATATATAACAGTATATATATGTCGACTATTTCTTTCTCTCTACCCCTCTCTCTCTCTCTCTCTCTCTTTCTCTCTGTCTCTCTCCCTCTCTCACTCTGGCTGTCTCTGTCTTTATCATATTCGTTCTCTAACTTTATCTTTCTCTCTTTCCGATATCACGTAACGCAAGATCGATAATTTATCGTTCTTATCATACGAACGGTATTATCGTAGCGATATTGTTGATAATAGAAATGAAAAAAAGAAGGGATTCGTATGAAAGGGCCAAAAGACATGTATACATTCAGAACGTTCGCAGTTTCTTATCGTTTGTTGAATGGTTAATCTTTTTTGCGGTTAAATTCCGTGATATATACCAATAATATATATATATATATATATATATATATATATATATATGTATATATATATACATATGCATATATCGCATATATTTGTACTTTTTCTTTGTCTCTCTATCTTTATTTCTTTCTTTCTTTTTTATTATAAATTCATATCTCCCCGAGTGATATCTGTTATTCGAATGGACTCGCTGTTGAGGTTAAAGGTGAGTGCAATTATTTGATAACGCCATTTATAAAGCGTGA